TCCATGTAAGTGTAATTTGAATGGTACTTGTAATTTTGAGTGCATATTCTCTTAGTGCAACTGACTGCTTAAAACATTGCAGGATGACTCTCGGAGGGAAAGATCAGCGAAAGGTAGATACAATGTGTGAACTCTTCACTGATTTTTTTTGTGGGGCTTGCTTCTACTGCCAAATGTGGCCAGAAGACTGTAATTTGCATACCTATTCTGTGCTCTGTGCGCTGAGACGACGTAGTTGAAATATGTTGCATGTGAGTTTTTTTGAATGTAATACCATCGACAATCAAGTTCTATGTTCAGATATTTTTGATATCCTAACTACATATTGAAAATTTTACTATATCACTTGAGGGTTTAATTTCCTGCCTCATGCTTCTGTTGATCTTCCTGAAATCTTCTGTTAAATAGTTCTTGTGATGGATTCCACTTTGCTGGCGGCCCTAAGGATCTGTTATTGGAATAAATCCTGTGCCTTGCAGTGGTATCTTTTTTGATTGCTACTGGTACCTCCCTAAAACAGATTAGGGAATTTTATCATGCTTAAAAGTTGAAGATTTAGTCTCATATTTATCACTGTGGTAGGTGGTGGTCTCAGGTTCAGACCTAAGCATCTTTCATCTCGTACATTGCTACCTGCCTACTTCCCTTCCTTAACTCTCCATGATTATAATTTAAAAAAACAGGACCTGATGGTAACCACCGATATGTTCCAACAGAAATTAAAGCTTTCAATTCTTAAACGTCAGATGGTTGATTCTAATCTAAATCGTTTACGTTGTTATGTTCATTGATGGTGGTCGTTTGTGAGTTTGATTTCAATGGTCTGAAAATTAAATAGTACAACTAAACTGGAGATTGAAAATACATATGAAGGAAGGTATCTGGTTTACATTCTGATTCCCAAGGAAAACCCAGATGATGAATGTATTTACATCTGGACGCCCTCGGAATGAACCATAACTTGAACAATATGTCTAATAGTCAAGACAAAAGACACGTGTGTGGTCATCATCATGCAAGGAATCCAAGCCTTTCCCCATTCTTCTTGGCCAGACGAATCAATCCTTGCCTTTGTTTAGAATCAGCCCCTATTGATTTGCAGAATTCAGTAATTACCTGAAAAAACAATTGAGAGATATAGAGGAATTTAATAACATTATCAGAATTGTTGGGAACCTGGTTTGTTACTAGCTCTGAAAACTGTCTGGATTAAGCAAAATTATAAAGTTCCATTTTGAAACATAAGCAGAGAACCACGGAAACTTGTCCACAAGTTCTCAAATCTCAGTATTTCTCATCTGTTATCCAGGAAAGACTTGGTAATTCAACTGAGTAAACTTAAGTAAATAGGTAAGAGTAGTAAATGGTACCTGCGAGTGCAAGGCAATTGCTTTTCCTCTGAGCTGATTGAACCTCTTCTTGCCAATAATTTGGCGTGTAACAACCACAATAGGAGCAAACAGACCTTTTCCTTCATTGACGTTCTTCATCATAGGCTGTGCTCTTACAGGCTTAGCAACTCGAACATGGTTGGGAACTGACTTGGCCAGCATGGCATAGTCTTCACCAACTATTGAAGTACCCCAACTTCCATAGAAGGAAGTTCCTAAACCTCCCTTAAACCCAGTTGCCGAAATCGAAGTAGCCATTCCCCTAGCTGCTATGGAAGTATAGATTGGTTTGTCTAAGTTGCTTAGAACTTGTGATGTGTAAAGATTTAATGGGGTTTTGCTCTCTTTGTACGTGAAGAGGGGATATTTTTTGGGTGTAAATTCGAGAGCCTTGGGTTTTTTATTGGAGCCTGGTGAGTGGAGAAGTCCTTGAAGCATTAGGAGCCACACATACGGATGGCTTGAATTTTAGTTTTGGGAACACGTATATGAATTGCATACTATTTACAACTTACGGTCCCCAAATTTCCAGGAGAGCAAAATCTGAATCTGGAAATCTACTGGCTGTTTCCTTAGAGAATGGGGTCTTTTAGATCATTCATAGGACAATCCTGACCGTCGAATTCAGAATCTATCCCGAATTATATTTTGCGGTGGAAATAAAATCCCAGGACTTTGTTTGGTTTTTGACCCCATGAGGCAAGAACTAATTGGAAAGAAAGTGCTTGATTCAAGATATTCTAGCCTGCATTCTAAGTCCCAGCTTCTTGGGTGCTACCACCTGTGCATGTGAACAACATGCCCTTTTGGAAGGTTAACAACCAGAATGGTCAGCAAGGAATGAGCATGGAATGAGGAAAAAGAACTTTCAAAGTCATTGGAATGTTCTGAATCATTATAGCAAAAGCCTAATGCACTTTTTCTGTTCACCATGTGTATGTTTATACTGCTATTTTGTCTTAACAAGAGAAAATTAGAAGCAAAAACGAATTCGGAATGGACCAATAGGATGCCTGTCTGTTAGATTGACCTACATCTACTTCAGGGCAAAATGATCTGCGCAAGTTGAAGGCACGAGTTGGTTTCTGCAAGGTTTACTTAGAAATCCGTTCATGCTAGGCACAATGGATACCCTATAGCAGAATCATCAACACTCGCAAATTCATGCGACAGAAGGGAGAGCTGCTCTTCAGCGGCAAAAATTGGCTTCTACTCTTCATGGCTGGCGCCCTGAGTTTTAGCATTCCTTCCTGGTTTTTAACTTCATTGCCCCGATTGTACCATGGTTTTGATCAAGAGCATACTAGTATGCATGTAAGAAAGCATGTTATTGTCCTTGATCTAGACTCAAACATAAATCTTTTGTGTTAATAACAATTGACTTTCACTGGTTAACGCAGTGATTTATGCTGCTACCTACCTGGTCGGATTCCAAAATGGAACCATCCTACCAGCCTGGCCCAGGCTGCAAAGAATTAAATATTTATTTTTACAATGAGAGCAAATTCAAAAAGGAAAAAGGAAAAATTTGTGTTAGAACATTACAGAGCTATAAAATTTGATGTGAAAGTTCATCTGGCTTCCATACAAGGCTTATGTGAAAATTTCCATGTTATGAACGGTTGAGACTTGGGATTTAAGTAGTGCAACTTAATGAATATAATTGTAGAAAGCATTAATCCAATGTGTTTTGAGGCAAAATACCCAATGTCATATTTGCAGTTGGTTCAAGGAAAGGACTCCAGCAGAAGATCTCCGAACAAGAAAAGAAGGGGAAAGCGGGGAAGACAACCCAGTTCATAGTGACATCTGTTCCTTACAACAAGAAAAGAAAGAGAAAATATATAGAAATGAATAAAATGACATATCCAGTGACCAATAATGACACCTGTTTCAATGTTTTTATATGGTACAATTGTAGTAAAAGAAATAAAGTGAGGTTTTTTTAAAGCACTGAAAAAGTCGGCCATCACGATGGGGCCAAAGAAATTGAGTTCATGCGCTTTGCACATTAGGTGCTTGCTTCTCCTTGCTTTCCACACCATCGAAGACCAAAAAACGGAGACACCAACAAACAGAGAGATCAAAAGATACACGGACAGAAAGGAACCCACACCGTAAAAATGGCTTCTTTAGCAACCCATTTGTCAGCATGTCTCTTCTTTGTCCCTATAGGGATCCGACGCCTCCTTTGTTCCTCCTCTCTCTACCTCAAAAACCCATCTTTATTCAAATCAAAACCATGGTACTTCTCCAATCCCAAATGGAAAAACTTGGATCTTTACATCCTCTCAATTGCACTCCCCATCGCTTCTTTCTGTCAAATTTTCTTTTTTCTCTCCATTTCAGGCCACCCCACTTACCGTTTCTCCTTTTTCCAACATTTTGCATCCCTTTGTCTCTTCTGGGTACTTACCATTTTCTTTGTTCTTTATGAAAATCTTGACCATTTTCTTTTCAATGAGAGTTTCATCTATATCTACGCTGCCATAGCCTTTCTTGTTGAGTATTCTGTTATTGGGGTTGGGATCACGGGTCTCGGGAGTGTTGTTTATGAACTGCTGGCTCAATTGACCCTTGTTTGTGCTGGTTCTTGCCTGGTTTTGTCCATTAAACCAACCGCCTTCTTCGCCGAATTTTTGTTGTCCACTGGATTGGTTTTTAAAGGGACTTGGTTGTTGCAAGCTGGTTTATGTTTGTATACTGATGCATTTGTTTTAAAAGGGTGTAATAAAATGGTGCTTTTGCCTGCTAGTTCAAATGCCGATGTTCATTGTGAGCTTGAAGAGGATGGTATGAGGGGTGTGGCGTTGGTGAATCTGTTGTTTGTTGTTCATGCAATTGGGGTTGTCATTGCTGGTTTTGTAGTTTTCGGACTTTTGTCAAGTTTTAGGAATCTGAGGTTTGGGGAGGCAAGTGGTCCATTGCTGGCTGAGCTTGAATCAGAGAGTATATTGATGCGCCCGAGTCATGAACATGAGATGGAATGATGTGTATTTTCTTTTTCCTTTTCTGTCTCAATTAGTCTAGAAGCAATTTTTTTTTTCTTTTTGGTTTGAGATGGATTACTGATTACTTTTCTCTATGTAGGCATTGATTTAGTATTATCTTTTTTGGTTATATACATACATTTTCTTACCTGTTAATCTTTTATAATTTCTTTTACTTGTGGAGTGCCTTTCGTTTGGTTGATGGATATTGTTATTTGTAGTTAAAATTTCTGATTAGCACTGAGCACTGTTTCTATAAATAATGTGGAACCGAGCATGTATGTTGTAATCAGGGGCTGTGTTTATGCAAGTTTTGTAAGAAAGTTAAGAACTAGAAAATCGGAGTTTGTTTCAATTGTTGGCTGGGCCATGACCTGAGCAACTATCCTTGTGATCTTGATCAAGTTTAAAAGTGAGTGTGAGTGTCAGGTGTGCATGCTTTGGTGCGTGTTGCAGTATTATTAGATTATTGCAGTAGCAGAACTTCTGTATATGAGCTGATTGTTGGGTGACTATTAACAGTAGAACTCTTCTTTCTTTCACCTCTTGTATCAATGTTAGATTTGTGAAGACCCAAGGTGCTTGTTACAATCAAAAGGATAATGGAAGTCTATTTATGTCACTGGTTGCACTGTCCTAACTATGATGAACAGGGAAATGGATAAATACAGAAAGAAAGTTATTCTAGTTTAGTATATCCTATTGGAGAAGAGAACTTTGGCATTGTCAACCATCTCCTACGAAAGCGCCCAAATCCATGGATTTTAATCCGGAAACGGATTCTCTTGATCTTCCTTGTGAAATCACCACATCTTCGTTTGAGAATTTTAGATTTTGATGATAATGTGACCAGTTTTTTCATGTATCGCCATCCTGCATTTGCTTGAAGGCAAACAATTATAATGAGAAAAATGTCATTTCAAAAATATTTTATTTTGTTGAGTTTCCTCATATGTTGTCCCCACATGGCTTGGACTAAATTCATCAGTTATGCTTAGCTAGGTGCTGATTGCTGAATTCATACCTTTAACCTTTTTAATATGTCCATCTTCTTCTAAGCTTGAATTTTGCAGGACCTGTGGTAAAGAGCATTACTGGTTATTCCATGTTGAGGTATGCAAGTGATTTAACTTGATTTTGTTTCTTTTTGAAGTAATTGACTCATTAAATCAGTATGGCAATACATTTGATGTGAGAACGAAGAACAGAAATGTTTTTCTTCTTTTTTTGTTGTAAATAGTGATAGACTGCAGACCCTGATTATGCATTGGATGCAAGGTTTCAGCTCAGTACCTCAACCAAACTTTCCAACCGCTTTCTCATCCTTCTTTGTATGAAACCTCTGGTGCACTGTTGAACAGTATTGCCAGAAGAGGACATCAAAGCTCCAATTCTTACAATTCCAAATATGTAAAATGGAAAACTTTGCCAGTGGAAATAAGATAGAAAAGGGGAGATGGAGGGGGTTTCCATAAAGCTGAAAGCAAGATAGAAATACTACCTTTACATGATGTTTCACATAGGCATAGAAATTTAATAGACTCCAGACAGTCTTGTCCAGTCTTTTACCTTCAATGTGGCGTGATGATATCTCTGTAAAAAAAAAAAACAATCATTTGAATATGTCTTCGGCTAGAGAATCGGTCTAACATAAACTGTCATGAATCTTTTGAAGAGCATCCTCTGCCTGGATTTCATGGTTTTCATTAAGCCTTGCTGAATGTACCAATGTTTAACTATTAAAGGTTAATATCTACATTTTGAATATATTTGTTTTGGGTATTGAAACAAGAGTTTCATCATGCAGCTGAGTTCTTTCTGTAACAGTATTTGCTAGATGATTAAAATGTGATTTACAGTTACTCTATTCGTGGTATCATGTTTAAGATTTGGACAATATGATGTACCAAAAGAGACAAATCCTCCATTAGTGCTCAATTCTTCGAAAGGTTCCCCTCTAAGTTCTGGAGGAGGAATTGGTGACCAGCTGCAAGGAGGTACTTTAGCCCATTTTTCTGAACTTCCCACATCCATGAGTTCCTGTCCAAATAAGTAATAAGCAGAATCCCTTTTGTTGCAGCTACAACAATAAGAGTTCAATTTTATGTTAGAAATCACAGAAAGTTTGTATTCTCCACCAGAAACCTGAAAGAAGGATGTTGCGATGATCACATCTGAATATTCTTTGAAGCGCATGGGGAATACTGCTATTATTTTTTGAGGCTGCCAAACATGTTATCATTCATTTAGAAAAAGCTGGAGTCAAACTGGAAATATCATGATTTATGAATATATGACTTCCATGCTTCAACATGGACATGGGTATCTGGCGTTTAAGATCCAAAGAATTAAGATATGTAACCTGTTTGGTAGATGTTAATGACTTTGAGAATGGAAATTACCTGTCTGATGACGTAGAAAGGTTCTCTTGGGTGATAAACAAGTTTGATCGGTTTGTACATCCCTTGAGATGTATCCCAGGAATTCACATTCTGCAGCATTTCTTTCAACTGAGAGCTTAGTATAACGGCTTGGACAGAGGAAACTTCTGTAATTACCTTCATAGAGTCTGGACAAAATAATGCATCTCTAAAGCCATAGTCTTAATAAGCATAGGCTTATACTTATCTCTTACTGAGTTTGATGCTTAATAAATAGCTAATTCCCAAGCTTTCTTTACCTTTTTGGACATTGATCCCTATGTCTCTACTTTTTGACAGGACCAAGGAACTTATGAACAGACAACACAAAGGTGGGGTGTTGGGGTGAGTATTCTGGCCTCTGCTACTTTCTTTGAAACAGAATAATTCATACTAGGAGATAAATGTTTCAGTAAAAAGTTGGCAGGGAGAACATACCTATGCCACGTGGAATCCTAGAAAAATCAAGTCGTAGAGTAAGTTGGTATCCTTCTTTTGCAGGTTCTACGATCTCCAGAACATCAGCAGAGATTTCCCTTACCATTTGCATGGTATACGGTGATAGCCCATATGAAAGCAACACTTCTTGGGTCAGTAGTGGAGTTGATATTGACAAGTAGGTAAATTGTGGATCAGATGCTGAAGACTGTGTTATCATTTATTTAGGTTCAGTATACATCGAAAATGACTTCAATTCTGTCATATGTGTATGTGCATTAAACATTGAAAGAGACCTATCCATATATGCATAGGCAATTAGGCATGGATATAAACTGACAGACATCCAGGGGCACATGCTATTCCAAATTGTTTCGATGTAATTATGCTTCATTATATATCTGATGCTTTGCCTACTATTTTCTAGTTCCTGCGTACTGAAATTGTGCTGTATAACTTCTGTTTCTGACTTTACTTCTAAGTTTCTGTTATGCTCAACATTTCTGCATCATATAGGTTTTGGAGCAACAATTGCCTGGTGCCTTTGAAGAAAGGACACCAACAATGGCTAAGCCAGTCGAAATAAATATTGATCGAATAGAAGGATCAGAGCTGTTTGGAAAGTTACCTTAATGTGGTATTCAACAGAGCCAAATTCATACAACTGATGATCGACCTCTATAGGCTTTTCTGCACTGTCATGAAAGGAATAACATTGATTGTTAGAGTGGTTTTGGTCAGCAAGAATTCAAATTTGATAACTACCTCTAGAATGCATCTTGTTGTCCATCGAAGTCAGTTGAGAGTTGTTTAGTGAGGAAAACTACCAAGTGTTTGTAATTGAGACTTGACCTAAGGATTATAATCTCTTCGCAGAGGGTTAAGACAAAGGGTTTACCTATCGGCTGTGCATGTGTTTTTTTCTCCTTTGTCTAATAAGAAAAGGTAAATGGCCTCTAAGTGATATTGTTATTCCATCCGTAAACCATACTTACCTGTAAATTCTGAGCAGTATCTCCTTCAGAGCTGGTGATGCTCTCTCAAAGCTTGCCATTCTGGAAAAAAGAAAGATACCCAGTTCTTCTCCCTGGACCGTGTGCTCAACACCAACACCCCCAATAAGCAAAGCCTGAACACTGGCAGCAAAGCCATAGTGCAGCCATAAAATAATGTTTTTCAACAGAATGATTTCGTTGAGTGAAATGCAAGTTCAATGGTTGCAATCATAATTAGCAACCTCTGAAGCAATCACCCACTCTGTCTCTCTCTCTCTCTCTCTATCTTTGCTTTATAATTAACTTATTTGTGGAGTAAGCCAAATTGATCGCTTGTCAACATCTTCCTTTTCTGTAAATTTCGTTTCTGAGTTTCCATTATGAAAGGCAAATGCATGCCTTTCTTCATGATCTTCTTTGCAATCATATGATTCTTGCATGATGGAAGTAACTAACTTCCTAATTCCATTGATAAACTTATCAAGTGAAGGTAGAATTTCACTTCAAATCTTGTCATACCCAACATCTCACATCTGATATAAATGTGATTGTTAAAACTTATATAACAATCTAAATCTACTATTATTAGCAATTTAAATTTAAGCTTAAGTTTTTGAAGACTACGTAGTTTAAGCTCAAAAAGCTCTTGAGCTAGCGATTGGATTTGAATTGTTACAAATAGTATTAAAACTTTCATATTAAGACATATATAACAATTTAAGTCTACTACTAATAACAACTTGTATAAATCCTCATAAATTATTTGACATTTCCATATACTAAGTTATGCCATAATTTTCAGCAAAATCTTGGTTTGATAAGAATTGTCACTTTTGCCTTCTTGTTATTTTCCTCCTCCCAAGTTATTCAGCAATAGGCCAATTTTTTCCCTATTTTTATTACCAAAAGTTGGTAAAACTGGCAAATCATTTTGTATAAAGAAGAACAGTACACGAACCCCTTCTGCTTTTCATTGTCAAACCACACAATTATAGTTGCCTTGTCCTTTTACCAACTTATAATCTTATATAAATATGTAATAAGTATTTTAAGAAATACAAATGCCTTTTTGGTCGATTCTTAAAAATCTAGCAAATTTAATAAAAATGGATCATTATTAAAAAAAGTCATAAATGGGTTTTACAAAAGATGTTTTTTCTATTAATTTATCTCGAATAATAAAAATCAAATCAATTAATTATAATTTTTTAAACTATTGAAGAATATCCACTAATAATATATAAATTATGAAAGATTGTGGGCGCAAACTATCATACCAACTTGAGGAAAATACTTAGATACCTCTAATCATTATAGCTTTTAACAGTTTAACAAATTCAATTATTTTTATTTTATAGATTAAAATAGCTTTAACATGTAAGAAATATTAAAGTAATGCTTCTTACCTTACTTTGTATATCACCAACCCAACATCCATCATCCATCTCTCCAATCAAATACACTTTCTAACTATAAAAAGAAAAAAAAAACGTTTCTCTTGTAGACAATCGAGATATAAATAAATTAAAATTAATAATTTTTAAATTTAAAATTTTAATTAGATAGGACATCATTTTCTGGGAAAAAAATATAATTTAACATTAATGAACATGTAAAGACAAATAGGAAAGAATTATACAACGTGTTAAATGGCATAAAATAAAGACAAATACTCCTAAAGTTTGGGCTCTTTTTTTTTAAATTTTTTTATTTCATAAAAATAAAATAAAATGCTACGAATCAATGAACATCCCCAACAGTGTGACCAAAGTTCCATCACACTGTCCTCAAACGTTGACACCTCACCCAACAAAAATGGGTTACGTAAGTTAACTCGCATGCTCCCCAAAGAACGATAACGACATTAACGACCGTGCATCAGTATCCTGTTATCATGGACCCCACCCACATAAATTAAAATCCTAGCCGTTGATCGAATGATTAAAACAAAAAAAGAAAAATAGAACCCGGAACGCTCTTCGATGTTTGCCAAATAATAGTACTCTTTTCGTTTTCGGCCATTTTAAATCCCTCAAGTTGTGGGGGGTTTTTAAAAACTTTAAATTGTTTGAGTTTCTCATTTTTTTTAAAAGTTTGTATATTTATATATCAAATTTATGAATTGTTTGAGTTTTGTTTCTTCATCTCTATATTTAGTTTCTGGTCAAAAGCTTTTTTTTTTGTTTGTTTAAACAGTGGTTTAGCTGATTTCCGATCACTCACCTGGGAAATGAACTCTTGCTCCTTTGTGTCTTAACCTGATTTGAATTCTCAAGTTTGATGGTTTTCTAGTCTTCTTCTTGAAAATTGAACCGCATTTTTTATTGGTTTTCTTCATTTTGTCAAAGACAAAGGTGTTGACTTTCTGGATGGGATTTAGCAGATGAAGGATTCCACTTTCTACCCATTCAGGCCCAGAGAGAAATTTTGAATTTTGGGATTGGGTTTTGTTGATTCATCAGTTTTCGCTTTCTGGGTATTTGGGAGTTTTTGGAAAATCGCAATAGAACAGAGAGATCTCCCAATCTGTTTCAAAGGTTTTTCTAACTTCTCTATGAACTTTGAGAGGTAAAGGTTATGAAAGTCTTGATTTTTTCACCTAGTTGGCCTAATGGGGTTTATGATTTGTGGTAAAAAATCAACCTTTTTTATTCCAAGAATCAAATCTTAAGGCTGTTTTGTTCTAAGTTTATTGAGTTATAGATTTAAGATTTTGAGTAGAATTGTGTTGTGAGGGGAGGTGTAATTGTCGTCGATGGATACGGTCCATAATGATGCTAAGGATGTTAATGGATATAACAATAAGATTTTAGGTGCCATAGGTTCTCCAAAACTTGAAGATCATGCTGATGGAGAAGAGTACAGTGAGTCAAATTCTTTGTTGCCACCTAAGAAAGGTGGGATGTCAAGAAAACCTGAAAAGACGCGGCGGAAAGTCCAATGGAATGATAAAAATGGGAATAAACTTGTGGAGGTTCTGGAATTTGAACCAAGGTAATTGGTTTTCTGGAGTTTTATCCGCTAACTGAATGCAGTACTTTTGGCTGTTTTGGCTTGGTTTGTGCGTTATGTCATTTAGCTGATTTCGTCACTAGTGAACATTTTGTCTGAATTTATTGCGGATGCTGCATTGATAAAGTTATGAGCGTAGCTACTTTATGATTTTAAATATGCAACTAATGTGTTTACACCAGAATCCATCTTTGGGTAAAAGTAGTTTTTTGTCATATATTTGTTTGTATCTATTAATTCTTGTTTTCTATTGTCTTTTGAGTTTCTCATCAAACATGTTGTAATGTCATGCATTTATGAGGTGTTATAAATTTAGCTAAATGATGATTCTAAGAATAGAACAATTGAGTACAGAAGCGCAAAGTTTATGTAGCGTACAAGCTTTTCACTTGAAGGGCAACGTAATGCCATTCTGGTTTTGTGTTCTCTAGATCTATGACTGCAGAGATGAATTGACTTAAAGCAACATTTCTTTCGCATGCAAATGACTATGAGGGTTTGCTTTAGGGGATATTTGCTGTATTGATCGTGTCAAATTTTCTGTTGTTTCCTATTCCAACAATGATCTGAACCGAGGACTCAATTGTAGTTGATCCTTGCAATATTGACCTCACAAATATATTAGGAAAAAATTTTCACTTATTGTGCCATTTGGCTTTTATTGCAGCATGTCCTTTAATTACTTTCTTGAAGCATTAGGATTTCTTTGAGCATTTCTTCAAAAGATTTGTTGACACAAGCTATGGACAATATCTGAAACTATAACTTGGTGAACTCCAGGGGTATCGTGTTTTTATGTTCAATTTCTCTTATCACCTGATCTAAGCCTTGTAATGCATTCCAAGTATGTAGTATCGTACTAGCCATTGATTAGAGAATGCATCTAAGTACTGACTAGCTTAATTTTCTGTTACTGGTGTTTTGATCTAAAATATCAGGAACTTTGCTTTAAGTACAAAGGACCATCCTCTCATAACATGAATTGAGTGGTCTTGGTGTATGAAATTGTACTGTATACTATGTGTCCATTCCATATATATGTAATTTAGTTTTTTGGTTTCTGTGATTAATAAAAATAATAGCATTTGCATCTTCTTAGAAATGAGCACTTTATTGCATGCCAAAAGAGTCACTGATATGCATGACTGAATATGCACAATCTTGCATAACTCTTCAATGTACCTTGATGTCTTTTAAACACTTTTTCTTGCTTCATATGCGATATGATAACATATGTTAGAAACTAAGTGATAAGTGCTTCTGGTTTAACATGTACTTGCTCAGATAGATAGCATTAGGTTTCATACATTTGCAATATTAGGTCAAATTGCAAAAGAAAAGGATTGATCATGAGAATCATACTTGACATTGCAATATGATTTACCTGGACTTGAGTAGTTGTATATTTCATTGATTCACCATTGTTTGTCACATCCTGATGTCCTAACTGTGCCTGCAGTGATGTGAGCGATTCTGACGATGAGGATTCAGATTCCTGCATCTGTATCATAATGTAGATATAACACAGGACACCATCGGGAATTACTGGATAAACCATTTTGGGCTTCAACTTCAACCTTGATTTTGATAAGTTTGCTACTAGATGGCCCTCGTTTCAACTTACTATTGGAAGGATAGATCAAAGGTCCAGAGGCTGAGCAAGGCAGTCTCTTGTATATTTGAGTTCTTTACCATTACTAAGGCGGTTGGCCATGTGTTTCGCTATGAACAGATGAGAATTGCATGGACCTTATCTCGGAAATGAAAGCAGACAGTTATGATGGTTGTCTTTCTTCCATGATGTGTATTCATCAGTCATTATGATCCTTTTTTTTCCTTTCTTTTTTGCTTTTCCCTGTAATATTTTCCAGTTGAACAACATTTAAGAGCTTCAAATCACATAAAATCGAACAGCCAATACTTATATCCCTTTTGCATCTTATTTTCCCTTTGTTACTTTCTTCTGAATGTTAAAAATCTCCATCACGGCATTCTTGGTAGCCAGTTGTCATGCTGATGCAGAAGAAAATTATGTCAACAACAACCATGCTGATAAATTATGAGTTCCATTCATGACATGGAGCAATGCGGTTTTGGTATGCTGAGAACAGTTTGGTCGAGTATGACTCGTAACTTATCATGAGAACTGCAAATGAACCCAGGATATGTTGTAATTCAGGTTTCATAAATTTGAGCACCGAATTTGAACTGATACCACCATATTCTTATGTTGTGAGAGAATCACTGAAGAATACTTCTGATTGAAGTCAATTGGGTGCTTTATTTAGAACAACACTTCCATGGACCCAATTTGTCGGGCATCTTTTGTTACAATATGCTGTATGATTGGTCGATAGGACGCTGAGACCTGCTACACCACTTGCTGCCTGGTTGCCTGTGCTACTCACTGGGAGCCCACAATTAACTAGGAGAATATGTTTATTTTGAATGTTAGGAACCCATAACTCCAAACCTATCTCTGGAAAGTTGTACTTTAAAAGTTTGTTGAATTTTACTGGTGTATTCTGTGTTCTGCAGCCTCTACCTTCCTATTCGCCTTGCAATGCGAGAACGTGAGCAGATTTCTTCCTTGTTTATGCTAGAATAATGCTTTGAGAAGCCCTGAAATTAAATGGTTCAACTTCAACACATTGGTCAATCCTTACACAAATAGTACAGCATGAACAATAGAGCCAAAGGCTACTGACATTAACAAATCTTATCAAGCAATCAGAAATGAATCAAAGAATCATAAACCGGCATACAAACAAACAACACCCCAAACTTTTGCACACCCTTGTGTTATAAACTTGGAATATGGGAGAAGCAACTTGCTGCTGCCTTTGCTTCTGCTTCTTCTTCTTCTTATAACACTCTTTGGGAATAGGCTGAAATTGAATTCATAGCTTGCTCCGTATACTTTCCTTGTACCTTTGAAAGGACTGGAGTATGTGATTTATAAGGACTCCAAGTTGGTGATATCTAATATCACTCTATCTTCTCTACTTCTCCAACAGAATGAACCGTCGCATATGCTTTTCTTTGATGACACGGTATCAAATGCAACGCTGCAACTTTTGGTGCTACCCCTGGCTTTGGGCGCATCAGTATTTGGTGAAGTTAGCCAGTTTGAGAGGCTAGCATCAACTGCTATGTCCTCCAGTAGAGGCCTTGACTGATTACGTTTTGGTGAGTAGTTGGAACTCAGCTTTGAACTAAAGGGTGTTTGTGGTTCTTCTTCTAGCGCAATATTCTCCTTCCTCCAGTGCGTAGGTGGCTGTGCTGCTCTTGCTTTGATTTCTTTCCATTGGGTAGTATTTTCTACTGGATTCAATACAGAACATAGATATTGGCTTCTGATTCTTGCATTTCCGCACCCAATAGACTTCGATTCTCCATCTGTTGAAGCACAAAGTGTCATTTTGTTCCTGGCCTTGTCCTCGTCCAAATGAACCAAAGAAGCTCCCTTTGCTGATTCCATGCTTACAGAGTCGAATTGATCCAAGAACTCTTCTTGTCTTTGTCTTTGATCATCAACATCTTTGTCAACTTCATCACTATCATCTCCATCATAATAATAATCATCATCATCATCATAACAATCATCACCTTCTGGATCACTTTCCTCAAATGCCACTTCATCCTCTTCATCATAGCTTTCTCGACAGTTTTGGTATCTGTAGTTGGCAGGATAAGAACCCATCTGCAATGAATTTGAGGGCAAGCTCCCTTTTCCTGCTTCTGCTCCATTCTTTTCACTTTCTTTCTCTTCAACACTGTGTAAAAACTGATATGTAGTGGTTTCTTCAGCCGGAATCGGCTCATAGGTCTGAACATTCAAGTTGAAGCTCACTTTCTTCTTCACTTTGATGCTCAACCGCTCCTTAGGCTTATTACTGCAGTCAACAAGGGAATATGTGAGTGTTTTAAAGGTCCTTATAACGGAAACCCTTTCATAAAAAGTACAAAATATGAGACTACGTATCAGCAACTGACCACAGCTGAGGATTTGAGGCAATGGGTTCTTCTGGGATGTCAAGGTTTATCGAAACAGAGGAATCCAAGGGTTCATAGGTAACAAGTCTCTGCTAGAAAATCAGTAAAACAGCAAAACCCAAACTATAAATAAATGAAAGTAAACGAAGCAATCCAGCTGAAACTTTCAGGAAAACACAAAAAAGCTTACTGAATCTCCGGGGAGAATCCGGTTGGCTGGTTTTCTACGCTTCCTCTTTGTAGAAATCCCAAAACAGCCAAGGAAACACCCCATCAGTAAATCTCGGGTGAAGTTTTCCACTCACGAACGAAGGAATGTTGGGTTGAGTCAGGAAGCATCCATACTGGGAGAAAATGCCCTTCCTCAAGATATTACAAAAAGCTCAAAGCTCAAAGCTCAAAGCTCAAAGCTCAAAGCTCAAAGCAAGAGAAACGACATGTGGGTGATTTTTAAAACCCATTTGGCTCCAACGGACTTCGAAAAAATAAGAACGTTGGGACCTTTAATGATGATAGAAGGGACCAAGCTGCTGGTGGGCACACGAGAGTTCAGTAGTAATAAGAAAAAGGACGAACATGACTTTGCTCTTCTTTAGATCTGAATTGCTAAAAAAGAAAATGCGGCTGTCAATTGACTCACTGTTTGCCCTGCAGCCATTTTATCTCATGTTAATTTAGTTGTATGTTCATTGTAGACATGGCACAAATACTTACTCTACCAACTTGAGATTAACCTTGTCTTCTTGGTTTTTCCATTTGTACAACGTGGCACAAAAACTTACTCTACCAAGCTGAGATTAACCTTGTCTGCTTGGTTTTTCCAGCTGTACATTTCAGACAGGGCACAGAAACTTAATCTACCAAGTTGAGATTAACCTTGTCTGGTCGGTTTTTCCACTTGTTCATTTCAAACGGGGCACAAAAACTTACTCTACCAAGTTGAGATCAACCTTGTCTGGTTGATTTTTCAGGTTGTACTAGATTAAGAGAAAGGTGGGTATCTTGAGGAATTGGATTTTTGTGCTTGTGGTCCTGGCAGCTTGGGAATTTTTTTGTTTTTAGTAGTAATATGGGGGAGACATGAGGTTAATAATGTGGTTACCAAGAAATGAAAATTTCAGGATTTTGTCAAAGAGTTTTTAATGCTTAAACCTAAAGTAGGATTGGAAACTCAAACAGGTTAAGGATCACCTTGGGTAAAAGAAGAAAGTTAATGGTCACGATTACTAGCAAAGGTTTATATGAAATTTTGTTTATGTTTTGTATTGTTCTGTAGTTAAATAAGAATTACTTTTTATGAAGATAGTAAAATAAAGATGTAATATTTGAAAAATATTTAAATTATTTAACGAAATTTGAATAAGTTTTTTTAAATAATATTTAATTAAATTTTTATATTTTTATTTTATATCAAATAAATTTTTATAAATAATGATTAATTGATTATTATTAATTAAAACATCACTTGTCATTTTATGTTTATGTATTGTTGATGTAATACTAACATGCATGTCATGTTAACAATACTTAAAATGAAGTTTAACTAATCATAATTAATCTAACGTTAATGATAAAGATCTATCTAATAAATATAAAATTTTAATTAAATATAATAAAAAATAAAAATTTATTTAAATTTGTTCTAATAGTTCAACTATTATTTTAGGTATTGTGTCTTAAATAAAATAGAACTTTATAAATGTGAATATGTTTTTTATTTGAAATTTAAGATCAGGTGTAACCAAGTAAGAACATTTAAACTAAATTAATTATTAAAAACCTTGTTCAAAACCCAATTTAATTACCTATTGTAAAATAAAATATGATGAAAGTTGATTTCTACTGTGAAAAAGCATTTAAAAACTTAATTTAACCAGAAAAGTAAAACCATCAGAACGATTTCAACCGTTCCCTCATGTCTACCTCCTTCAAACGCCATTTTGATCAATAAATAAATAAACTCACAAGTACGTTTTCAGGTTGTCTGGGTTTTAGACTTTGATTTAAGGAAGGAGGAAGAGAGTAACAACTAAAGAAAGAAAAAATGGGAAAAAGAGAGATGGATTCAGATCATATGCAGAAGCTGTTCGCTAGGCAGATTTCAGAGGAGACAAACGAGGATAAGCTCAAGGAGTACTTCAGCCGATATGGTGACGTTTTGCAGTCTGTGCTGATCAGAGACAAGTTCAGTGCCAGGAGGCACAGAGGCTTTGGTTTCATTGTTTTTTCAGACCCTTTAATTCTTGATACTGTTCCCAAAGACAAACACACCATTGATGGTAGAGCGTGAGGCATAGAACAAAAGTTGAGATTAAAAGGAAAAGGAAGGCTTTAATTTGATTTACGGATCGTTCTAACACATATATATATATATATATTAATGGTTTTTTAGGTTGATGTGGAGAGGGTCAGGCCTCGAATCGAGCTGGAGCCGTCTGACAGAACTGGGAAACTCAGTCCCGGTAGAAATTCTGATTGAAGTATGAGGAGCAAGAAGATATGTGTTTGCAGGGTTTCCTGACACCTTAATTACCCAATTAAGATGAATTTCGCCAATACTTTGAAGCTTATGGTCATGTGACTTAACCCATTTTCAAGATTGTGTTAGTATATTAAGAATATTTTGGTGAAGCTTATTCAATTATTGACCATACCTTAAACACCTTTCATCTTTCTAGGCCACTGATACAATTTCAAAACTTGAATTGCGAAAAGAACGCCAAAGATTGTAAGAATGTCATCACTTGAACCTAGAGTTCTGTTCACATATGGCTTGTCAATTGCTACCAACGAGTGGCAGTAACTGCAGTCCTGAACTTCTGATAGTTCGGTGCTGGTAGAGTTTACCAGCGCAGCATGCCCATGGTCTGGGACCAAGCAACTCCACTGTTGCTGCAGCAATGTTAGTCCCAAAACTCCATCTCAACCATGTCCAGGAACAATCAAATCCATTTACTTCTCTTCAATATTATTTGAGAACAAGCTGAGTTTAACACAGCCTCGTCCCCTATAACCTCATAGCTAGCATTCCTGCGCAAATTATTTATCAGGCTGAAGATGCTGCAATTATCTGATCGTAATATGGTATTCAACAGCTTGCAACTCAACGTCAGAAAACTGAAAGGTTACTGTTTGTTCTTGCTCCAGAGGGACTATGGTTTGATTACTTGAACCCAAATTGAGGCTAATCACCCCGTTAGAACGTTGATGATGCTACAACCATGATGGTGACAAAGAGGTGGCTGACATAAATTACCCCAATCAGGTTCATGTGGGGAGATTTTGAATGGGGAATAATGGGTTATTGGCTCCAATGGGTTTTCGAAAAATAAGAACGTTGGTTGGACCCTGGAAAGTTCCGTAAAGAGAAAGACTTTCTTTGTTTTTCAGGATGTGTGAACACCAAAAAAGGGAAGCACAACTCGGATTCCTTGGGATACCTAATGAATGTTTGGACTCAATGATCCAAATTCAATTCAAAGATGGAACAAATATAGAAAATATGGCTAGAGAGATTTTGTCCTTTTTGGACAGGCAGGGGAATAATTAACAAGAGAAAATAACAAGAAGTAGGAGGGAAAAATATTGAAAATATGATACTCTTTTTCCTTTTTTTTAATACTTTCTAAACAAAAATTTTATTTGGAAATTTCGCATTTGAGCAATTAATTTGTATTTTTTGAAAATTAAAAATAATTAAGTTCTAATACTTTCTTTCTTTTTTTCTTTTAAAAAGGAATTTGGATATGAACCTCACCTCTCCATTTCCTCGTTTCCATTTATATCGAGTAGTATTTAACCAGGCACAAAAAAAATAATGAAAAATCCCATAAAAAAAAGTATTTATGACGTTCAGGAAAATATCAAAAGTTTGGATCACGTGCTCATCACATGAGATATCAAACAAAAACTGCCAATATTCCAAAATCAGCTAAAAGACTGTTTCACTAGGAGACGAACCTAAGTTCCCCTTAAAATCAAATCTCCACCGTCCAGTCCAAAATATCCCCCAATCTCCACCGTCCAATCCGCATACTCCCCCCAGCCCTCACACCCCCCTTCCCTGCTTTATTCCTAGCCCCGCTCTTCACCCGCAATTTCTCTCTCTCAAACCCCAAATCCGCCCACGAGCCCTTCGCTTCTTCTTCTTCCCCAAATCCCAAACCCCAAAACCCCTACCCAAAGAAAGATTTACGATTCATTTGTTTTTCAGATTTTGAAGAACACAAGAGAGGAAAGAAGAAGAAGAAGAAGAAGAAGAAGAAGAAGAAGAGGTAAAGGGGGATGATGGATTCGGATCAGGGAAAGTTGTTCATTGGAGGGATATCATGGGACACAAGCGAGGAAAAGTTAGGGGAATACTTTGGCCAATACGGAAACGTTTTGCAGACCGTGGTTATGAGAGATAAGGTTACCGGAAGACCCCGGGGGTTTGGATTCGTTGTCTTCTCAGATCCGTCCGTTCTCGATACTGTTCTTCAAGAAAAACACACCATCGATGGTAGAACGGTGAGGTTCTTTTGGGTTCCTTTTTTTTTTATGGGTATCTTTAGGGTTGTTGTTTTCTGGATTTTTTCTTTTTAATGCTAATTTTAGGTGGAAAATAAATTTGGGTTTTTTGATGGGTATAGATGGATATATGATATTTTGATTATTGAGTATTCTGTGATTTACCGTTTGATATTTGTTTTGTTCCATGTTCGGTTGCTATATTCCTGTGTTACGAATTCTGTAGTTAAGGTCTTGTTTGGTTATCGTAGGAACTGTTTTTGCTTTTAAATTGTGGTTGAGGTGCACTGGTGAATTATTTGAGAGGAAACAAAAGCTAATGAGATATTAATTTCTGCGTGGAATCTCAGGCTGGTTTCTTGCGGGAATAACTGAGTCTTGCATTAGTCAATATATGCATGGTGAATTTCTTTTGGAAGCAAGTTTTTTGGATCAATTTAATGTTATGAATGATCCCCCTTGAAAATGAAAACTTTAAATTATTTCCTTTATATTGGTGATTTTCATAAATGCTACTGCATCCAAGTTTGTGATTTTATCTGCGTATCTTGTTGCACTTGCCTGCTGTTTAATGTTAGTCCCCATTATAATCATACATGATAATTGTTTCCCAGGTTGAGGCAAAGAGGGCGTTATCAAGAGAGGAGCAGCAAACATCTGCTAGATCTGGAAATCTTAATCAGGGTAGAAATTCTGGAAGTGGTGGAAATATTAGGACCAAGAAGATTTTTGTTGGAGGGTTGCCCCCTACCTTAACAGAAGATGGGTTTCGCCAATACTTTGAGGCATATGGTCATGTAATTGATGTAGTAATCATGTATGACCAGAATACTCAGCGGCCTCGTGGATTTGGTTTTATCTCCTTTGACACTGAAGATGCAGTTGATAGGGTTTTGCACAAGAGTTTTCATGATTTGAATGGCAAGCAAGTTGAAGTGAAGCGAGCCCTCCCTAAAGACGCCAATCCTGGTGGGCTTAGCCGAACTATGAGTGGTGGTGCTGGTGGTGGTGGAGGTTACCAGGGCTATGGGGCTTCTGGTGGGAACGCGAGTTCTTATGATGGTCGCATGGACTCCAATAGGTACATGCAGCCCCAGAGTACTGGAGCTGGCTTTCCACCTTATGGCTCGTCGGGATATAGCGCACCTGGTTATGGTTATGGTCCGGCTAATAATGGTGTTGGTTATGCTGGTTATGGCAATTACGGTGGTGCAGGTGCTGGTTATGGTGGCCCTGCAGGTGCAGCTTATGGGAACCCCAATGCTGGTTTTGCAGGTGGCCCACCTGGTGCCCCTAGAAGTTCATGGGGTACTCAAACTCCTTCTGGTTATGGTACTATGGGTTATGGGAGCGCTGCTCCTTGGGGTGCCCCAGGTGGTGGTGCTGGTAGTGGTGGTCCAGGTTCAGCAGGTACTGGCCAATCTCCCACTGGAGCTGCCGGGTACGGGAGTCAAGGTTATGGATATGGTGGGTATGGTGGAAATGATGGATCTTATGGGAATACTGGGTATGGGGCTGTTGGAGGTCGTTCCGGTGGTACTCCAAATAGTAATGCTTCTGGTCCAGGTGGAGGAGATCTACAAGGGAGTGGTGGTGGCTACATGGGAAGTGGATATAGTGATGCAAATGGAAATTCAGGTTACGGAAATGCATCATGGAGGTCTGATTCATCACAAGGTTCTGGAAGTTATGGGGGCACGCAGGCAAATGGGCCTCATGGTGGCCAAGCCGGTTATGGTGGTGGGTACAGTGGTGCTCAGGGCCGACAAGCCCAACAACAGTAATTCAATCACTGGAAAGACAACTGGATCTCAACCTCGTTTGGGGATAGCCTTCTCTCTGCTCTTGTGGTTTTGATGGTTTCTTATTTTCAGCAGCAATGGGAGAGGCTCAATTTGGATGTCAAATCACCTTGGGACCGGTTGGATTGCTTGAATCCCAGTAGTTTGCAGTATCTATTTTGCTAGTCATAATAAGTAGTTTTGAGGCATAATAGATGCCTTTATTTAGTTTTGCTATTGAGTGTAGTTTAAATTTGGCTTGCTTTATATTTGTTTACTTGCTGCTCCAGTACTTTTCTTATCTACGGTAGTGTTTAAGCTATATTAGTTTATATAACTTATATTTGTGTTGTCTGGCTGTTTTGAGTATTTTATTGTTATTTATATCGTCTAGGAAATTTGATGATAGATAATTATGCTTGATTTGATATGACAAGTAGGGTACGAAGATGTACCAAGGATTTTTACTGATAGCCATGGAGCTATGGGCCACTTGGGTTGATCAGTTCGTAATGGTAGCGATAAACATAGTGGTAGTTGACACTTGAGGATGGCATAATCATTTTCCCCCTGTATTTGCCCTTGTGTTGTACAGGAGGAGAGATGCTCGAGAGTTCAAAGGTGGAGTGAAAGTGTCCACTCATGGCTGAACCCGAGCTTCATGGTGGGGGTTGTTCAGTGTGGGGTTTGTTCAGCAGAGGATTGCTCAGTTGAAATTTTGATTAACCTGAGAGAGGCCCTTCCCCATCCAGGTGCTGCCGACTCTGCAAATTCCTGGCTTTTGAAGTCAAAAAGGTTCCTGATCTTCATTCGGGATTCTGTGGGGGATTTATTCAACATGGAATTGAATTTTTGAAGCAAACAACCTGGGGTATGTTGACACAAAGCTGGTAGCCAGATCAAGATTTCATTGTTCCCTAATTATCTAGGTGTGCCTTTTGATTCTTTGGAGTAGATCTTACTGTGTGATTTCTGATTTTTTGATAGAGAGCATCAGAAAAGTATGTCCTTAAAAGTTCCCTTTAGTTTTGGAATGAATTATTTGCCGAACATTTGATGCTGGGGCCCTTCATTCTCCCCTTCTACAGGCAAATAGGTTAAATTCTTCTGAATGGTATTCGGTGGTAGTATTTGATTCTTAATGTAAGTAGAGATGGTAGACTAATGGCCGGGTGACACGGGTAGTCCCAATGAATAATGGGATTTAGTAGTGTTGAGTGTCAACCTCCTAGGCAGTTGAATTGAGTTAGAAACGTAGAATAAATCCTGCCTGGTGTGGAAACCTTTCAGTTTTAGGATTTTAATGCTGAAAAGCATTTATTAGCATGGAGGGGTTTGAGACTTTGGCTCCTTGACGATGATACCAGAGGGTTCAGATGCCCTTAAATCTCGCAAATTTATCATTAGTACACCCCGGATAGCTGTAAAGTGCAAACCTCACCCACTGTGGGTAATGACGATTTATTTTAAGCTCTCAGCTAATTATGATAATAATATTACAATGGAAATTGAAGAAGCTGCTTAAGTAATTGGAGGAGATTGTTCACCGCAGTCACAGTCTAGTATGCTGAAGGAAAACCTTGGTATGGATAACCAAGTGCTTTGTAATTGCCAGGGCGTGAGAATACAACCTACAGTGAGAAATCCATGGTGTCACAATTTACTTTTGAAAATCACATGACAGAGAGTAGAATAAATTCCTACCTGGTAATCGCCAAGTGTATATGTCCTAAAACCAGCTGCACAGTAATCGAAATAATATTCCCACGTTCTCAAGAACTTCTCATCGAACCCCAAAGCTTGAATTTTGCTGGGTAAAAAAACGCAACATATTAATTCATCTCATCTCTGCATTTCTGATTTCGTTAAACTAGCATCATACCTCTGATTCTCCAGGAAATTCTTCCTCCAACATCGTAGTGTTAGATAGTAGTTCATTCCGATGTTTTCCACATGCTCCACACTGCCCTTGCATTACTTCGAATTAACATATGTAGGACAAAACGAAAAAGTAACTCCGAGATAGAACAATGGATTTTTTTTTTTTACCAGAGTCGAGATGCCGCAGCCATGCCAGTTACTATCCTATTCAGGGAAGGCAGGCATCCACCAGGGAAGATATATTCCTTTATGAAGTCTGAACTTCGCTTGTACTCGTCGAAACGCTCCTCCGGTATTGATATGAACTGGGGAAATGTACATCAGTCTTTTAACTGTCTTAACCATTGGCAGTCTATGGACAAACAGTTTGGCCAACACACTGTCATTATCATTTTACCTGAAGCACAAGTAGCCCGTCCTCTGCCAATGCTGACTCGCAGCATCTGAAAAACTCTTCAACATATTCATCACCTAGATGTTCTATCATCTCACTGAAGAAGGCAATAGATAGTCAGTCTCAATTATTTGTTGCATGGATGTTAGAAAATATGAAAGCGGCCGAAGAACTCACCAAGATACGATTCTGTCATATTTGTGAGTATCAGGTAATTGGCGGTAGTCACAAAGAAGAAATCTGATATTGTCCTGATCATGAAGCAAGTAGTTAAAGAGCTGAGGAGAAAAGTGTATATGTTCTAAAACATCAGAGGACAAAAAGTAAAGGCGTACTGTGCAGGCCAATGTCATTGATCATATTGATACCTGAAGACCAGCTTCCTTTACTTTTGCTTCTGCAAATTTCAGTTGTTCCTCTGAAAGAGTGATGCCCGTGTATTTGCATCCGGTTCGTTTGACAACTTCAATGGCAAATCTTCCCCAACCGCATCCGATGTCCAGAACTTCATGTTGCTTCTCAATTCTTGCCTATATGTTGTGACAAGGGAAAGCAATGAAATAGATGAGAAGAGCAAGAAAAGGAAGGAGCAGAATGAAACTGTTATTAACCCTTACCTTATCAATCAGACTTGACATTTTCCTTAGCTGTGCAACCTTCAAGTCTTCATCTTCATTCTATGAAATAATCCAACATAACAAAGTCTCATTATAGTATTAAAAACATTCCTCTGTTGATGCAAAACTCAAATAAAATCATAAAAAGAAATTGTTATATTCACCTTAAATATTCCACTGGAGTATTGCATTGTTTCATCCAAGAAGAGAGCAAAAAGTTCATTACTCTGCAAACACAATTTGAGAAGAACTGTAAGCTTGTTTGATAAGCCTAAAGTCAAGTCCAACTGCATTACATATAATGTGTTCCCTGCTCTTGGTAATGAAGCTAGAAGATAAAAGTGTTATACTCTAAATCATAAAAGATGCCTTTGAATGACTAATTACACATGGAAAAGCAATGACATAACACATGCAAATAATCTCGTACCACATCATAATGGCGAGAAATGTTCCTACGAGCTTGTGTAACACTATTTTGCCTTAAGGCATGCTTGAAGAAATACTTTGCAGATGCTATGCTAGCTGTGAAAAATGAAGGTGTCCACCAACCTCTGAAGCCAAACTCAAATCAAATTATCAAAGAACTGATTTTATATATGAATAATGCTAGAATTTTAGTCTAAGTTCTTTGCAGATTGCAGCAAACCTTTTTTTATTGAGTCTTGTGACTGAAGATTTTGAATCTCCATTGGCAATGAGTATCTGCATAGCAACTAAATTTAGGTGCTGATAAAGTGTATCAGAAAAATATGATTTGCGATAGATTTGGATCTCTTATCTTACAATGAAAAGATTCAGAAGACCTTCTTCTTTATCTGTGAAAGAAAAATCTCCATTGATAAAGGCATCTGCAAGGCCTAAACCAGCCTCTGTCATAACCTGGCAAAATACTTGTAATACTTGTAAGTAGTGGTGGGAATTTTGCATGGGAAAAATGAGATGATCCCATAAAGAAAGACAAGGTTCTTTTGTAGTGAAAACTGAAAGGTTATCAAAGATGTACCTTCCAGTAAAATTGTGGATTGTGAACTTTCAGAACAGTTTTAACAGAACACTTTCTCACGCTTCCCTTGAACGTAAAAACTGTGCCCCCTTCCTCCAATATACTGGTGATGCCACGGCACATAGCAAAGACCAGCAACATCATTTGAGGTCAAGTTATGAGAAGGAGAAGAGGAAGAATAAAGAATAAAGGTCAAAATAAACTTGACAATAACAAGGATTTATGACTATAGAAATGAAATCAATCTGCAATGCTGATTGGAGAAACAAAATAGTGTAGCTAACCCCTCAATTCATTTACATTATCTTTGGAAACATAAACAAAGAGTTCATCATCTTTGAAAAATGCATGACCAAAATTATACCTAATAAAGAGGGCGAGGATCCTTCCAAGCAAAGAAATATGCATACATCATTACAGGCAAGAACAAAAATGATATGAAACGATGCAATTTTATTGTTTTAAGAACTCACGTTATGCAGCCAGTTGATATATATTGTCCAAGGAATCTAGTAACGAAAAGACGAGCTCCTGTTTCCATGAAAGAGGGTACTATGTGTTTTGGCTGGTTAAGAACAGAACACTGCTTTCCCAGGAGATTATTTGCAGTGACCATAGCAGCCTGAGAAGAATTATGCCTTTGCTGTAAACTGGATGCAACTATAATTCTTGAAAGAAAAAATGGAAACAGCAAAAATGAATTACAGGAAACTTTCCCTCAATGTAACAGATTTGAGTAGTCAATATGAAATGTGAAATGACTATAAGTGAAGTGTAACTGCATATTGCAGCCTAACTTAGAAGCTTTTACCTGAAGCTGGTAAAATTGATTCTTTGATATTAGTTGGTATGAGCAGAAATCACTACCTTTAATTTGTCTTCATGGAAGCCATATCCTGAAAAAATATTAAACATGTTATTTAGATGAGTCATTGAGCAATATCCTTAAAATTTTCACTAGCAAGAAAATCCGGGTATGTTAAGCATCTTGGTCCACAAAAAGCCGGCTGAAAATGTGATCAGAAGATATTGTCTCTGTGTGTACTCCAGATGAATTAAGTGGAAAAACTCACCACAAAACCAGATTCCTCGCTTCCCTTGAATCTGATTAAGCTGAAGAGAAGCTTTTGATGCAGCAACAGATGTGATTAGATGGCCAGTTGTCCACTTATGCAAGGTTTGTTTTGGTGTTTGATCGGGATTAATGGTTACAAGAAATGGTACACTTGTTTCACCAACATCCTGTTAATCAATGAAACAATTACAGCACTCAAGGAGCTGAAAGTTTCCTAATTTACTTCTCATCCTGATTGACAATATACTCAATATCCTGAGATCTTAATATCGAAGCAAACTGAAAGATTGAAAGATTATACATGCAATTTTCCTTTTTTCCTTTTGCACAGATGAACTTGTTACATACCTGTAGCACATCGAGCAGGTATGTTAAGCATGCCTTGTTTTCTGCACCTTTAACAAAATTCAAAGCGCTCCATGTTGATGAGTTCTTGGGCATAAATTTAACATCTCGATGAAAGAAAATATCACTGCCAACAAAGTCACCAAATTTTGCATCAGCAGTTAATTAGCTTGACATGATGAGAGGTTGATCAATCTCAGTAGCTCACTTTCCATCAAATAGGAAAAAGAGAAGGATATTAAGCACGTGACAGTGAAAGGGGATATATCTTATACTTTGACAAGGTCGTTATTAGCTTTGTCGGATGAAGTTACTGACAGGAGTACTAGCTTTAAAAGGTGGCTGTCAGTCACTATCTTTTGATACATTACTAGCATTTAGTTTGGGATAAAACACTGCACATTTAGTTCTGGGGCTTGTTTTTTTTTTCCTTTTGGGAAGAGTATTGAAAGTCTTCAAAAGCAGTCAAAACTCAAAAGTAAAGATTAATCTTCAGGAAATGAATTCATATTATGCAATAAAACGACAATAATTAGACTTAAGGAAATATTGATGCCTGCAGACATATTGGAATGCACCAAGTAATCGCAGTTCATCAAATGTTGCTTGGTTCCCTAGTAATTTCAAGGCAGCTGGAGCATCAACAGCCATTATGCATCCGTTGTACTTTTCTTGGAAACCATCTCCAAACACAATGTTGCTACCTGGTAAGACTTCTTTCAATTAGATTTGGATCTCCCTAACCTTTCTGCTAGGAAAATATTTCCTTTCATCCAGATAATGCTGAAGAAATTGGAAGATGCTAATGTCCAAAACAATAAACCCAAAATGTTGTGCTTAAAGAATACTCATGATGATGAACATTTATACTTTTTCCTTCCTCTGCTATGTGTTATGTAAGCTTTTGCTATTCAAATATATGCATCCATGACAGTCATTGAAAGTTTTTCTTTCATAGTTTATCGACCATTGTTTTTCAGAAAAGTGTCTGGTGTAAAACTTTTTTTGTTTTTGATAAATTCTGGTACCTAATGAAGTAAAGTATTTTACCATCATCATCAGTCTGAACAGAATGTATTTCACAACCAGTTCTTATTTGACATCCTCTGCTCTCCAGCATTTCTCTGACCTGATTTTATTTGAATAGAATCAAAAAACCTACAACAAACACTAAAATGGGAACTTGGAGGAGTGAAAGAAACTATAGATCAGCACCTTATTTGCAAAATATGAATGTCTGCTGACAGTCAGCAATTGAGGGCGCCCAAGTAGCTGCTATCAGAAACCAAATTAGACAAGGAAAACTCCTTTACATTGCAAATAATGAAGAAAAACTCAAGTAGCATAGGAAAGAATCTATGGATGGAAATCTTAACAATGAAAAATAATGGATATATATACCTGATGTAGATGATAGCGTCGAAAAATTGAAAGAGTATAGAAGGCTGAAAAGCTCATGACTTGTTCCACAGTGCAGCACCATATTGAACAACATATTGGGATCTATATAAAAGACATGACATTGTTATCATCACTAGTAAATGGGGAAAAACAAATTGAATCAACTACAAAAGCTGAGGCATGCAATGCTTCAGCTTACTCACAAGATAAGCCTTCTGAAACAGTTCAGAGTAGTCCCGCAACTTAATAAACTGTCCCAAGGTTTCATTGCGATCAATATCTGGGTTGTTTTCGAGCATTTGAAGATAACTGCAATGATTCCAATGAAAGTCATGACTCAGAGACGAGATTATAGCAAAAAATATAAAATGTGGGGTTATATATATAGTCATCAGTTCATGTTGTGTTTTGCATCTTAATCTTGCTATAGCCAAAAATACATAGGTCTATCAGAAAAGATAGGGAGAATGATTTACGTAATCACATCATCCTTGAACTTAATAATCTCCCTAAGCATTTTCCAAAAGTATGGATTCAACACATTCTTCTTCTGAGCAAACAAGCTCGAAAAACCATTTCGAGTGCCCCATTCATAGTCCTGGCCGTTGTCAAGGCTTACAGAGAATGACATGTTGCATGCCTCCACACCTACTCCAAGGCTATCAAACAACTCCAGAGTACTTGGATTCATTGCCTGCAGCCAACGTAATTATCCAATTACTTAACCAATCTGCCTCAATATTATTATCTCATATTCAGCGCAAGAATTTTTTCAATGCCAATGGGTGTTCAAAACTTTTAACCAATAATTTTCCCAGCCACAGAAAATAAATTATATATATATATATGTATATGTATATAAGAAAAATGAAAAATCTCAACAAAAACATTCGAAAGGTGTGAGAATATATATAAGATAAATTATTCAGATTGTGACGACGCTCATTTTGACTAAATCCTCAACTGCTTTTTTGCATGGATATATGATATGTTTGCAGAAAACACTTGGTTTTTGCCTTAAAATTAGGAATTTTGAGCTTGATCAGTCTAAATATATGATGGACAAAATTTGAGTTTCTTAATTAGCTAAATAAATAAGAATGATTAATTAAGCCTTAATTTCAATCACATGGGAAGAAATATTAAATTAGTAATTAATTAACAAAATCACAGATTGGTTTATTTTATTGATTATTTTCCGTGTACGTATTATATTTGTACAATTATTGCTACTTGTTAGTATTTTTTTTATATTTTTAATGGCTGCTTCATTTAAAAGCTCCCTTGCTTCTTGTTTACAAGCAAACAATTTCACTATGCATAGACACCGTATAAATTTTGCTTCATATATAACTTATATTTTAGATTAACATAAAATTTCAAATAATAAATAAAAGTCACAATCAAATCACAATTATTTATGGCATAATTAGGAGATCTTGTCGACTATGACATATTTTCAACCTGTACAAGGTTTTTTCTTTTGATTGCGTAGGAGATTGCTCTTTATGATAAACAAGTCTGGGTTTGTTGGGGAAGTAACATAAATTTTCAAGTCTATATATACAAAGATTAATCAGAAAAGTATATAGCTGCCAATGTAGAAAATGATTACTATATATAACCTTTATATATATATATATATATATACATATTACATTTAATATCTGCTCATTTTGTGCGTACACATATAAAGGCTTTGACTTTGCTCAAATGATTTCTTATAGGAATTAGGTAAAACTTTTTATTTTTCATTTTTAAATGAAAGGGATAAATCTTATATCCTTTGCACCAAAAATAAAAATATTTGAATAGTTGTTACTTATTTCTCCCATGGGCGCCTGGGGAGGGTCGGGATATTTCCCGTCGAAATCATCCATATAGTGCAAAAATAGTAATTCTATAGCGTACATAAATAATTTGGTACATGTAGATTAATTTTTTCGGAGAAGGGGATCGAGGTGCTGATAATCTTAGACTTATTATTTGATCTCAATCAAGAGAAACCAAGGAGAAAAGGTTTTTGATTTTTTATAGACTGAAAATAGTCAGTTTGAAGAGTGAAGAATCATGTGATGAAGAAAGGGAAAATAAGGAAATTAAAAAGTGAAGAGATTGGAACAAGCTAAGGGCAAAAGCTTACGGGATTGAAGGCTATGAAACCGAGGTCTAGATCAATGCCATTGAAGGTCCTGGCCTGGCCACCTACTTGCTCTTCTTTCTCATACACCACAACGTTAACACCTGCTTTGGCAAGAACGCAAGCTGAAACCAGCCCACCAATCCCACCTCCGATCACAGCCACCCTCATTGTATCTTGAAGCTGAAGCTTTAGTCTATGTAGAAATGGAAACAGGAACCTTGGGTCTCAAATCTTTCTGTTATAGAGAGTGCTATATATATACAGTATGCTTCACAACGAAGTATTAAACTATTGTGTTGAGAGAGAGAAAGAAAGTTTATACTGCCAATAATAATGTATCCTCTAGCAAATTTTTTTGACTTCTTATAAAGTTAGTTTTATTAAGTTTTATATAGTTAATAATATTAATAAACTCACTAATTTTTTACAATTTTGTAAGGAATGAGATCAAAATTTAACTGATCCTTGAGCCACTTAAAACACTAAAACATAATCCCAAAAGGCCTTTATTTTTCACCTACCAAAAGCTTATTTTTTTTAAAAAATGTCAACTTCAACTGTTACATAGCAAGCACCACCTATTTTTGATGGTTTGAACTATCTTGTTTGGGCTGTCAAAATGAAAGCATTTCTAAAAGGTGTTAACCTTTGGAATGCTGTGGAAAATGAGACTGAACTATTGGTACTGAAAGAGAATGCCACACAAGCACAAGTGAAACAACATAAAGAGGACATTGCAAAGAGATACAGAGCTCTATCTTTCATACGCTCAACTGTGTCTAAGTCAATCTTCAATACAATTATGGGGTGCGACATTGCAAAACAGGATTGGAGCCAGCTTGAACAAGAGTTTATGAGGTTTGCAAGAAGCAAACAGATGCGTTTGTAAAATCTTAGAAAAATATATGAACTTCTGAGAATGAAGAAAAGTCAAACAGTGGGTGAATTTGTTGATGATGTGATGAAATTAGTAAATTAGATTCAACTTATGGGAGAAACTCTTGCAAATGTAAAAATGGTGGAAAAGGTTATAATTAGTTTACGAGAGAGGTTTGATGCCACAATTACTTCTCTAGAGTAGGTAAAGGATATCTTAAAACTCACAATCTTGGATTTAGTGAATGCCTTGGAAGTTAATGAATAGAGGAAAGTTGCAAGGAAAGATGAGAGAGTTGATCATGCTTTATCTGCTCATGTGAAAGGCAAAGCTCAAGCAGATTCTTCATCCAGAAATAATTCAAATGATATAAAAGAAAAAGACAAAGCTGGCACTCATACTGGAAGATTTTAGAATAGAAAAGGAAAGTTTCCAATTTGTATTCACTGCAAGAAAAGGAGCCATGTTGAATCTTACTGTTGGTTTAGACCTGAGGTCAAATGTAATGCATTCAAGCAGCTGGGACATGTAGAAAAAATGTGTAAAGATAAAACTGATGTTCTAGACAAGAAACCACAGGCTTCAAAACAAGTTGAGAAGGCTGAAGTTGCAGAATAAGTGTTATTTATGGCTACATCAAAGTTTGGTTTAGAATATGAAAATCAGTGGCTTCTTGACAATGCTAATCAAACCACATGACTTCAAGGTTGAACTATTTTTTGAAATTGACACTAATCATTATTCTTCAATGAAAATAGGAAATGGTTATATACTTCAAGCTACATGGAAAGACATAGTTGAAATTAAAACTTTTTTAGGCACTGGGTATGTCCTTAATATGCTTTTAGTTCCTGAAATATCTCAAAATCTTTTAAGTGTGGGTCAACTAGTTGATGAGAATTATGTGTTGCTATTTAAAAATCATGCATGCACAATTTATGAGCCTTCAAGTGAATATTTGATGTCAATCTCTATCAGTAAGAAGTGTTTTCCTATAAAATGGAGTAATGTTTGCTTATCTGCAATTGAATCATTCATTGAACAATCATCTTTATGGCACAAAAGGCTTGGTCATTGTAATTACAAGTCACAATTGCAAACCAATGCCTTTGGTTTGTTACTTAATTTCCCAAAATTGCATAAATCTTATCCTGTGTGCAGCTCATGTCAATTTGGCAAATTGTCCAAGAAGCCTTTTCCAAAGTCAAGTTCTAATAGAGCAACTAATTAACAAGTTGGATCTTGTTCATTCTGATGTTGTTGGTCCTATGAAAAAGTCTTCACTGAGTGGAAGCAGATTCTTTGCCATTTTCATTGATGACATGTGAAAAATGACTTGAATTTATTTTATTAAGCATAAATCAAAGGTGTTTTCAATGTTCCAGAAGTTTAAAGCCAAGGTTGAGAATGAATCTAGTTGCAAGATCAACACATTGAGGATAGATAATGGAAGAGAATATACTTCTTCAGATTTCACAAGTTATCCAGGAAAAAAGGGTATTCTTCATCCATTAATTGCTCCATACTGCCTTGAACAGAATGGTGTCAATGAGAGAAAAAACAAAACTGTTGTTGAGATGTTTAGGTGTTTTCTGTATGAAAAAAAAAGCTGCCAAAGAGCTTCTAGGTAGAAATAGCTAGCACTGTAATTTATTTGCAAAATATCTTGATAACTCAGGCTCTCAATGACAAAACTCGCTATGAAGTTTGGTATGACAATAAGCCTTTTGTTGATCATTTAAAGATTTTTAGGAATATCAGCTATCAACATGTGCCGATGAACTCAGAGATAACTTATAACTAAAGGCAAAAGTGGGCATCTTCACTAATTATAACTTACAGTCAAAAGCTTATAGAATATATCAAGTTGATTTAGGTAGAGTATCAGTGAGCAAAAATGTAACATTTGATGAGAATTCACATTAGAACCGAGAGTTGAAACAAGTTTAGATTGATTAAACCTTTGAAGGACTTGAAAGGAATGTTGATTTTCAGCCTAATATCATTAATGAGCTTGATATTGAGCAGTTACTAGATGAGCCTGTTGTGAGAGACACTCAATCATTGTATGATATTTATGAAAGCTATAATATGGCTTTGTTTGAACCTGCAACACCTGAAAAGGCATTCAAATCTTCTGAATGGATTGAAGCCATGAAAAAGAGCTTAATGTATAACTCTTAACAAGACATGAAGTTTAGTTGATAGGCCTAAACATCATCATGTTCTTGGAGTAAAGTGGGTGTTCCGGAAGAAGGTTAATTCTGATGATTCATTGAACACACCTAAAGCTAAACTTGTAGTCAAAGGCTTTGCTCAATTACTTGAAGTGGATAACTATGAGACATTCGCACCAATTACTAGAATGGATGCCATTCGATTATCGATAGCCATGTTAGCTATGTTCATGTGACAAATATCTCGTTTCGACATCAAATTTTCTTTCTCAAATGGTGACCTATAGGAGGATATTTTTGTTGAATAGCTTTATGACTTTGAAATTGAATCTAATAGAGGCAAGGTATATAGGCTTCATAAAGCCCTTTATGGCTTGAAGCAGGCACCACGTGCTTGGTGCTACTAGATTAATGAATACTTAAGAAGTCAGGGGTTTCAAAAAAGCTGCAATGAAGCAACTTTGTGTGCATAAAAGACAAGTGACCAAAATCCATTAATAATCTCATTATATATTGATGATATGTTGGTTATAGGAAAAGATGCTGAAAGAATTACAAAGTTCAAATCAAAAATGCAAAACAGATTCAGAATGATAGATCTTGGATGGATGACCTACTTCCTAGGATTACAGATTTTACAAGGTAATACTGGGATCTATGTAACTTAATCAAATTACATTATTGAAGTTTTGAACATGTTCAAAAAGAGTGGTTGCAAGCCTGTTGGAACTCCTATTGTTACTTATAAGAAGTTGTCAGTTAATAAAGGTTCCAAACTCGATGATCCTTTAATATTCAAAAGTTTGATAGGATCATTACTTTATATCTATACGTCAAGACTTGAACTGATGTTGCTGTGAGTTATTTGTCAAGCTTCATGCAAATTCCAACTATAGAGCACTTCTCAGCTTCTAAAAGAGTCTTTAGAAATTTGAGAGGGACATCTGATGTAGGCCTTCACTTTACTTATTCTCATGTAAAGTCAATTAATTTAGTTGAATTTTCTAACACTGACCGAGCTAGGTGCATTAATGATAGTAAAAGTACTTTATGCTATGTAATTTCTCTTGAAAATGGATCATTTTGCTAGAATTTAAAGAAATAAGAGACTACTTCCCAATCCTCTGCAGACGTAGAGAATATTGCTGCAGTTACAACTGCAAATCAAGCCATTTAAGTGAGAAAAGTCTTAGTTGATCTTTCATGTGTCTCTGACTCGATTATATGTAGACAATAAGTCTACCATTGCTACGATGAAGAATCTTGTTTTTCACAATCAAATAAAACACATCAAGGTCAAATACCATGCCTTGAGAGAAGTTAAGAAAAACTAAGAGATATCCATTCAACTCTGTAGCTTCAGTGATCAAGTTGCAAACATTTTGACCAAATCACTGCCTTTGCCCAGGTTTAAAGAATTAAGAAACAAATTAAATGTTCACTAAGTTAATGTTTAGGAGGAGTGTTGAGATAAAAACTAGCTTGAGTCATGTTTGCTTCGAATTAAGTAATGGACATTTGTCCATCATTTTCCCTTGTTGTACTGGTCATATAAACCAGAAGTTAGTCAGCTCATGTAATGTTGGTTTGCTTATGTAGTGCATGTTGAACTTAGTATATATTTAACACTTGTCAGTTTAAGTACATGTCTTAGTCAAGCATGTAAGATAAAAATTATAACGACTCAAGTCCAACTATTGACCCAACAACTTTTTAACATCTCACATCTGATGTCAATATGACTGTTAAGATTTATATAACAATCCAAATCCACCATTACTAGTAACTTGAGTTTAAATTTTTGAAGGCCATGTGGTTTAGATCCAAAAAGCTATTGGACTAGTGGTTAGGCTTGGGTTGTTACAAATGGTATCAGAGCCTGCGCCAGTCCGATGTGGGCTTTTACATTGCTATGGTGAGATCTTGATCTTGTAGATGTGATGTGTGACCTTAAAGAGGATATCAAAGATTTGAGTGGGTGGGATTGTGATACCCAACATCCCACATCTGATGTCAATATGATTATTAAGACTTATATAACAATTCAAGTCCACCACTACTAACAACTTGAGCTTAAACTTTTGAAGATAATGTGGTTTAGGTCCAAAAAGCTATTAGGTTAATGATTGGACTTAGATCGCTACATAAATGTTGTATTCTCTCTTCGCTTATGCATTTACAAAGCTTATCTATTTCTTAACTTTGCTTTGCTTCTTAAGTTTGTTTTGTTCTTTGCCTTACTGTTCTATAACTCTTAATGCTTTGAACATTAACTTGATATCATAGCAAAAAAATAAATTTAATAAGAAAATGTATATTCAGTTTATAAAAAAATTTGATAGATTGATTAATTTATATTTATAATATATAAATATATATATAAAATCAAGAAATGAAGTTTAAAGTCCTAGACTCCTAGTTTATTAAAGGACAAAACAACAATGAGTAAAATTTGTGAAGAAGTTAATCACGCTGACACTTTCTCATGCAAAAGGGTGAAAAAGAAGAAAAGAAGGAGAAAGTACAGTATAGTTAGGTAAGATTGCCAGTGTGCAGTCCTACTATGCCGCCAAAGCGTAGCCCTAGCCCGCATTTGGGGATCTTCCTCTTTGCTTGTTAGGCAACCCATTTCATTATTGTGAGAGAAATTATTAATATTTACAAGTTTTGATGGGGAGAGATAAGAAGGCTAATGTTCAGTGTGGATTTGGATCATATGGTTGCGGCAGAAGGGAAGTTCAACTTGAACGCTAGCAATTGGTCAAATATTTTGTTGGAATTTTAACTCGTGTTCTTAGAGCTGCACATGGAAATTAATGCGTTGGCAGCTGATTATTTGCAAATGCAGGGTGGCAATTCTACAAGTAGGCTTTGACTCTTTGGAAATTAAGTATCATTGATAATATTTGTTATGGGAAGATATTACTATCTTTAATTTGTCTTCATGGAGGTCATTTCCTGAAACAAAATACACACGATACGACATTGTTGCATTATATGTTTGGAGCCAATTACAATGTTCTCAAAATCATAGAAGTCAGTGATTAGATAATTAAAGGTAGAAAGTTGCAGCAGAAGCCAAGTTCATCTTGAACACTAACATATGCACATGGAAATGAATTGGCAACTTTGCCGTTTCCTTCTTCCTTCTCTTTCATACTGTCGATGACCAATTTGTCAATCTAGATGTGGACATGTTAGTATAAAGATACATAACAGTACCTGATCTATCTTGAGACACTAATCCATGCTTTTATCTCAAATTGTGAAGGAAACAACATTCCTATAATTGAAACCATGTTTTTTTTTTTAAAGTGGTTTGCTACTCTGAATGTATGCTAGTATATCATTTTTTGCTTTTCTTTTCTCCTCTTTTTGCTGTAGTTAATAAGGTATTATCACTCTATATTTGTTTCTAGAATTTGTGGGAATCGAATTAGGCAATTTCATCTAAGCTTGAGGTAAATTAATTAGGAGGCACAAAAGGGTAAAAGAAACTGCATCTAGGTAATGATAATTGGGATTTGATTTGTTTTACAAATTGTGAATATGAGTGAATGATTTTACTATATTAAATTTAGTAATGGTTCAAATACTTGTACATTTACCTAATGTTTGGGAAAAGGAATTAAGGGAGATGTAGGATTTTGGAGGGTTTAAACTTAAAGAATTAAAGGATTTTTTTTTTTTGTTGGTAGAGATACATGTATCCCTCCCCTTCTCTTTAAAATGTTTTCCAAACAAGAAAGAGTGGAACCATCCCTTTCCTAGTCCTTCTTTTTTCTCCAATTCAATCAAAACATCAATAAGCATGTACATTTGACAGAGTATAAAGGGATGCCTGCATTTGAAATTTATTTCATTTATGTGGAAGGTATAAAAGGAATTATCTTGATGATTATAACTTGAGAAAGCAAAATAAAACATCTTCAGGACATTTTCATGAAGGAAAACCTTGGTATGGACCCCCAAGGACTGTGACATTTTCAGGGCGTTCAAATACCTCCTACAATGTACCATAAAGATCCACATTGAAATATTTCTAGGTTAAAAATAAGTTGAAATTTAATATCTCTATATATGCCATAGTGTCTGAATCTTATCCCACTTAAGCATCAACGTAAATACCCTTTGCAATAGTATGGGTTCAAATGCTGCTAATTCAATAAATTTTCAAATCTAAATCGTGTGATTTTTAAAATTTAGATATGCACATTTGATTTGGGATGAAATATTGCAACTTTGAGATTTAAAATTAATTATGACATCTTTCGTTACATCTACGGGCAACTGGCTCTTACTTTATATTAAAAATTCTAATTAAAATCAAGTCATATATCCGGTCATAGCAAAATAAAATAGATTCTTTAAGATGAAATATTACACTCTTGAAAGTTAAAATAGTTATGACATTTTTCATAGTGTCTATTGGGGATTCAACTCCTATTTCACATTAAAAAATTGTCAGATTATATTAATATAGGTTGAAATATACAGTGTAATGATTTTATACATGTTTTAATTTTTTGACATAATTGTTTGGTCTGCTTATTAATCCAGTCAGTTCCAACAGATTAAGGCCAAGAAGGGAAACGGATAAACACTTCTTATAATTCCTAAAAAGTTTATCTTAAGAAATAAATTGAAGAACAAATTGAAGAACAAACAGTAAATTGATTAAAAAAAATATCATCAAATTAAACACTTGCCCTTAAAATTTTCCAAATAAGAAAAATTGGAACCCTTTCCTTTCCTATTCCTTGTGTTTTTTCTCCAATTCAATCAAAACATCAATATACTTGTACATTATAGACAGATGCCTGCATTTGAAATTTATTTCATTTATGTAGAAAAGGAATGAAAGGAATCCATATATGTTACAACCATCATGATGATTTGATTATTTTCTTCATATATATTCCATCAAATTAATTAGTCTACCAAGAATAGGCAGATTATTTTCTTCATCGGTTCACATAAATAAAGGTGGGGAGACAAACTTAATTAGCAGCAGCTTGATCCTGGTTGAATCAATACGAATATGCTGAAGGGAAACCTTGATAAGGATCGCCAAGTGCAGCAAAATTGCCAGGGCGTGAGAAAACAACCTGCAATACGTAAGAAATTAATTCAACTCTGAGCTCGAAATTAAGATCTTAGACCATCTGCAGATCTTTTCAACCAGCACAACTGCATAAAACATGAATGATATTATGCAACATAACATGTTAGTAGAAGTTAATTAGCTATCATATTATATTTAATACTGAGGAATCTCAAACAGATTAATGAGTATAATTAAGAGCATGGATTCAAAAGTAATAGGGTAGCCAGTGGTAGAATCAGAATTTTATATTTGGAGGAATGAAAAATCGAAAACAATGTTTATAAATTAAACAGCCATACTAGAAATTTAATGTTTGATAATAATATAAAACAACTTAGATAAAAAAATTTCATATAAAAATTATACAAATAAATCCTGAAAATTATTCAAAGAAAGCAATCTTAATAATTTACTTAAAAGAATTAACTAATATAATCATAAATAACTTAATAATGACAATAATCTTAATTTCTAGATAAACTTAACATCAAATAGAAATTAACCAATAATAATAACAAAACCTTTCAAAAAGAAAACAAATATAATAACAAAAATTTCAATGGGAATCAATCCCTTAAAAAATATTAAAAATTATGAATAAACAATTTAATGGAAAAACAAGTCTCTAAAATTAATCAAAAAAATTAAATAAAATATTAATAAACAATTTAACGAGAAAGCAATCCCTAAACAAAAAACTTAATTGTCACAAGAATCTAAGGAAAATAAAAAAAAACACACAACTAATTTGTAGGAAAACAATCAAACAATCCCTAAATAAATAAGTAATAACTAACCTTAAATGCATAATTAAATTCCTTTCAAAAAAAAATAGTTAAGACGGTAAATCATAAATCAAAATCATCAAGTAAAAATTATTAAATAAAAAAACTTTAAAGTTGAAATGTTAAAAATAAAATAAGTAACTAAATCAATTTTACCAATTATGATGACATGAAAATTGAGTTACTAATTAAAAGTTTTCTAAAAAAAGCTAACAAACAAAAAAGTGTAAAAAAATGATTTTTTTTTTTGTTTCTACAATATTTGGTAAAAAGAAAATAGAGCAAGTGGTGGTTATGAAGTTTTAGAGAAGTAGGATTTGAAAATAATTTTATTGTAACTGATTTTCTCTTTTTGGAAAATACCATTGGTATTATTTTAGTCTTATTAGAGTTAGTTGTTGGCTAATTGTTGTGTGATATTTCACTAAATAAAAAATTATAGTAGGGGTAAAATTATAAAATTTTTAAAAAATAAAAATATGTGAAAAAAATTTAAAATTTTTGTAGAGGCGAAATTATAAAATTTTTAAAAAATAAAAGCAGGTTATAAAAATTTAAAAATTATTAGAGGGATGAAATTATAAAATTATTAAAAAATATAAATAAATTATAAAAATTTAAAAATTATTGAGGAGGCGGGGGTCCCACTAGCGTCCCCCCCGCTCCGCCTCCGGGGGCAGCCATACCGTTCCTACTTCTACAGGTCCATATATTAATACATTTCAAACAGATAAAGCCAACAGAGATGGTGGCAAATAGCAATTCATATTTACCTGGTAATCTCCTATCGTACGGGACTTAAAACCAGCAGCAGAATAATCAAAATAATATTCCCATGTCCTCATGAATTTTTCATCGAACCCCAAGGCCAGAATTTTGCTGAGAAGAAAACAATTAATAATCCCTCATCAAAATATATTACTTTGATAACCTTGTAGGAAAACCAGACAGAATCTGAAACCTCTACTCGTATATACAACATTGTCTCCATGCTAATCAAACTAGGCATCTGTACATGAGAATTAGATGGGTACCTCTTGTTTTCCAGGAAATTTTTTCTCCAACATCTAAGTGTTTGGACATAATTAGGCCCTATGTTTTCCACATGCTCCACACTGCATTCATAGGCGTCAAATTAATTTTTTTTTTTAAAAAAAGAAAAGATGTAGAACAAAGAGAAAATAAGGCTGAGCTAGCTAGAAAGTTGACCTGAGTCTGGATCCCGTGGCCATGGCTGATAATATCCTAGTCAGGGTAAGCAAGCATCCACCAGGGAAGATATATTCTTTCACGAAGCCTGGGCTTCGTAGATACTCAGGGAATTGCTCCTCCGTCATTGATATGAACTAAGGAAAAATGACTACTGATCTTAGAATCTTGACTATTAGCAATACCTTGAAAGGTAAAGCTTTTATAACATGTTGGGCCTAATATTGTGCATTTTAGTCAATGCAGCAGCAACAGCTAGAATCTCGAAGTTACTATAAGCTTGACGCAGGCAACATTCCTGTTGCCATTTTATCATTACCTGAAGGACAAAAAGCCCATCCTTTGCCAGTATTGACTCACAGCATCTGAAAAACTCCTCAATATATTCATTGCCAACGTGTTCTGTCATCTCACTGAAAAAAGTAATTGATAATCTTGACAATTGCTTGTCAACCAAGTGAGTACTTGATATAAATTTATAGGGTAAAGAACTTACCAACAAATGATCCTGTCATATTTGCATGTCTTTGGTAACTGACGATAGTCACAAAGAAGAAACTTGATGTTGTCCTGATGGCAGAATTTGTTGAGTTTAAACAGGAAGATAAGTGAAAGACCCGAGAAACAAAGTGCATATAGTTGATCAATATAGTAGAACAAGAAAATTTATGCAGATATTTGCAAGCTAGTTTGCACCTGAAGTCCGGCTTCCTTCACTTTTGCTTCTGCATACTTCAGTTGTTCCTCTGATAGAGTGACGCCAGTGTATTTGCATCCGGTTCTTCTGACAACTTCAATAGCAAAGTATCCCCACCCACTACCGAATTCAATAACTTCATGCCCCTTCTCTATTCTTGCCTGTATGTGTCAGAAAGGAAAACAATGAAACAAATAACCATGGCAAGGAATGGAAGCATTCCATGAGATTCTAATAAATTCTCACTTTATCGATCAGAGAAGAGATTTTTCTTAGCTGTGCAACCTTCAGGTCTTCGTTTTCCGCCTACAAATTAACATGATCATGACCATGTTAGAAGTTAAAGTCCCAACATACATGGAAGAGATTCCTTTTACTTATACATTGCACAAGCAAAACCATAGAATCTGGAGTCTTGACCTTAAAAATCGCAGAGGAGTATTGCATTGTTTCATCCATGAATAACTCAAAAAGTTCATTACTCTGCAAATACAATTTGAAAAAAAGTGTAAGCTCTTTCTTTTGACAAATCCTGTCACAAACCGACATCATGGAAGTACGAACTAGAAGGACCTAAAGGCCTATAACCTCAGTAGCACAATCAAAAAGTTAAAAATTTGTGCTAGACCATTGAATCAATCCTTATGAAAAAGTTATTGAACAAAGTTTAGATCGCCCAAATGGAAATTAATGATAACATTTAAAAGGGTGAATATATTGTTCTTATACCATGAATTCAGGAGTCGTAATCACGTACCAGGTCATAATGACGAGAAATGTTTCTACGAGCCTGTGTAAGAGTATTTTGTCTCAGGACATGCTTAAGGAAATACTTTGCAGATGATATACTAGCTGTGAACAGTGCAGGTGCCCACCAGCCCCTACAGAGATCAATTGAATGCCAATACTCAATAACCATTAGATGTTGTTAATTGATCATGCCACTATCAGAGTTTATTCTCAGGGGATAAACCTTTTCTTATTCAGTCCTGAAGCGGAAGAGTTAGACTCCTTGTTGGCAATAAATATCTGCAAATAACTCAAAGAAGATTCCGATCAAGCAGGTACCAACACAAGTTGAGATAGATTTGGCTAAACCATATCTTACAAGGAACAGATTCAGAAGACCTTCTTCTTTATCTTCGAACGAAAAATCTCCATGGATATATGCATCTGCAAGGCCTAAATCAGCTTCTGTCATAATCTGACAAAAAACACATTTGAACACTTGTCAGCAGTGGTGGGAAATATAGTTCATGGCCATGCCAATAGTCAAATTTCAGAGAATTACGACACTAAGTAGTGTCTGTCTACCTTCCAGTAAAACTGGGGATTGTGCACTTTCAGAACTACTTTGAGAGAACACTTTTCCATGCTTCCTGTGAAAGTAAGAACTGTGCCTTCTTCCTCTAATAAACTGTTAATGCCAAATTGCACCACAACTTGTCAAGCTCAGAATTCATTTCCAAAAGATAAATTAACAAAAAAAAAATACAGTGAAAAAACGGAAGCATCATCGTTTTGGAAACTGATTTGACCAGAAGTTACTTAATAAAATCCTGGAATAACATCAAGGCAATATAAAGGAAATTGAAGTATAAAAAATATGAAAAATTTATTTCTAAGAACTGACATTACGCAGCCTGTTGATATATATTGTTCAAAGAATTTAATCACAGTATGCCGTGCCATGGTTTCCATGAAAGAGAGTGCCATAATGTGCCTTGGGTACTGGTCAGACTTGCAGAAATAATCTTTCCCTCGATATACACCAGCCTGCAGGAAAAGTGCACCTCAGTTTGGAAAATGGATAACAATTACTGTTCATTAAAATTGTTGCTGAAAAAATGATACGTTAACAAAAATCAAATTGCAGGCACCTCCACTTCAAGTCTTCAACATATCATGAACTGGCTCTTACACAAGATAACCACATCCTATATATAGGATATAGCTGTTAGAGTTGGAGTAGACATTGACTTTATCATTTTTTTTACTATGTATTTTGCTTCGTTGTACTGGTTGTTAAGTGCTGTACACCAGTGTTTATGAGGTGTCTTTGCTCATGTTTAGCTTTATAACACTTGTCTCTTACGTTTACAGGTGTCAATCTTGTACAACTTGTATAAATATTTTGGTTAATGAAACGTGTGGATGAACCTTTAACACATTTCCCTCCGTTGTAGTTTTCTTACTTCTCCATAGCACGGTAATATATGTTCTTATCTGCTCTGTTATAATTTCATTCTTCCTCTAGTTTCCTTACAATAGCTAGGTAGGAAAATATATACAACTCACAGTTTGGACCATGGATTTCCACGTGTATGTATGTATATATATATATATATATA